CCCCAGCCGCAGCAGCAGCAGCAGCAGCAGCAGCAGCAGCAGCAGCAGCTCCCCAGCCTCCCCGCGCCCCGTTCCAACGCCCGCTCCCCCCCAGCATCACCAGCACCACCACCACCATCATCCTCCTCCGCAGCAGCAGCAGCAGCAAACCTTTTTCTTCCTATTTTTGAGTTCCTTGGTGGCCCTCCTCCCCTTTTTCGGCTCCGCCTCGGCCGCCTGCATGCGCCTGAGTCGAAAGCGGCGCTCGAAGCGCTGCGCCGCGCGGAAGTCCGCGTAGAGCAGCGCCTGCCCGCGCGAGCGGCCGCCGCCGAAGGCCGTGCGAAGGCCCGCCAAGACGAGACAGCGCGGGTCTGCGGCTTTGAACTGCTGCGCAAGGCGCTGCTGCAGTTCTTTGCGGCTGACGTTGGCGCGGCCCGAGTGCAGCACGTCCACCCAGAGTTGCTTGCGCTGCAGCAGCGGGTTGGACTGCAGCTTGCGCAGACGCACGCTGAACGGGGCTTTGGAGTCCGACATTGTGCAGCAGCAGCAGCAGCAGCAGCAGCAGCAGGTTGGGTGGGATCGTTGAGATGGGAGGGAAGAGTTGGGAGGGTTTAATTGGGCTGGGTGGGCTGCCCCACAGGGGGCTGGGCTGGAGCTGCTGCTGCTGCTGCTGCTGCGGTAGGGCGGGGCTGCGGCGGGCGCTGCTGCGCCCCACTGCAGCGGCGGGGCTGCTGCTGCTGCTGCTGCGGCTGCGGATGATGCGCAGCAGCAGGTGGAAGAGAGAAAAGAAGCAAAAGATAAAACCAGCCGAGCAGCCGCGCCTTTCCGAGCTGCACCGCGCCGCCCGCCGCCGCCACAATGAGGTACGCCGCCCGCGCGCCGCGCCGCCAAACACCCAGTGGGGCGATCTTCCCCGAAAAACGGCCCCCCGGGCCCTCCCGCCCCTCCATTTGCTTTTCTTTTCCAAATTCCCTTCTTTTCAAGCCCTAATTTCCCAGCTTTCCCCGCAAACCCGCGCCAAACGCCCCCAGGCCAGGCGCCGCCCGCCGCCTCAGCCGCCGCGCGCCGACGCCGCCGCTGCGCGCAGCGCCGCCACTCACTCCGCTTATTTTTAATTTTAATTCCATCTTTTTTGCTTTTTATTCCACTTTTTGCCTTTTATTCCACTCCCAACTCCCACTTTTCCCTTTCAAAACCCCCAAAGCCGCCGCGCGCGGCGCCGCGCGCAGCAGCGCCGCGCGCAGCGCCGCGCCAGAGGCCACAGAGTTCGGGTGTACATACACCCGAACTCTGCGCACAGGCCGCGAGCTGCCACACACACGCCCAACCCGCCACAGAGCCGCCACTCCGCAGCGCAGCAACTTCCCAGCTGCTGCTCTCGAGCTGCTGCTGCCAACTGCTCTGCTGCTGCTGTGCTGCTGCTGTGCTGCTGCTACTGCGTCTGCAGCAAACTCAGCCAGGAGACCCTCAACGCGGCCATCGCCTCCATCCTGAAGGGCTCGCAGGAGAAGAAGAGGAAGTTCGTCGAGACCATCGAGCTGCAGATCAGTGCGTCCCACTGCAGCAGCAGCAGCAGCAGCAGCAGCAGCAGACAGCTGGGTTCTTGCAAAGCACACAGCAGCAGCAGCAGAACGGCGCCGATGCTGCTGCTGCTGCTGCTGCTGCTGCTGCTTTGTTGCAGGCCTTAAGGATTATGACACGCAGAGAGACAAGCGTTTCTCCGGCTCTGTCCGCCTCCCCCACGTGCCCCGCGCCAAGTCCAAGGTGGGCCTTTTGCAGCAGCTTTTTATTCCCGCAGGATCAGCAGCAGCAGCAGCAGCAGCAGCAGCAACAGCAGCAGCAGCAGCAGCAGCAGGTGTGTGTTTGTGCAGGTTTGTGTGATCGGCGATGCTGTGCACGTGGAGGAGGCGAAGGCTTTGGGCCTCGACTGTATGGACGTCGAGGCGCTGAAGAAGATCAACAAGAACAAGAAAATTGTGAAAAAGTTGGCGCGCAAGTGCGTTTTTTTCCTTTTTAGTTCCATTTCGTGCTGCATTTCCGTTTATTTATTCAAATAATGAATTAATTTCCTTTATTTGCTTTTTTTCTCCACTTTTCTGCGCTCGGAACGCGCCTCCTGGGGTGTACGTACACCCCAGCGCCGGCGCGCCGCTCGCGGAGTGCGCGGGCGCGATCTGGGGTTTCTGTCGGTGCATTTTTGTTTTTTTTTCGCGAAATAAGAATAAAAAAGGAAAATTAATTCGAATTTGGAGTTGGTTGCGCGTTTGGGGACGCAGGTACGACGCTTTCCTGGCCTCGCAGGCGCTGATCCCGCAGATTCCGCGCTACCTCGGGCCCGGGCTGAACAAGGCCGGCAAGTTTCCCACTCTCATTACTCACCAAGACAAAATCGAAGACAAAATCCTCGAAGTTCGGTCTTCTGTGAAGTTCCAACTCAAGAAGGTCCTCTGCATGGGCGTCGCCGTCGCCAACGTCGAGATGACCGAGGCCCAGGTGAGGGTTTAGGGTTTAGGGTTTAGGGTTTGGGGTTTAGGGTTTGGGGCTTGGGGTTTGCAGCGCGCCCGCGGCGCCGCGCTCTAGCAGCAGCAGCAGCAGCAGCAGCAGCAGCAGCAGCAGCAGCTTTGGGGCGCTGGGGTGTACGTACAGGTGCGCTACAACCTGACGATGGCGATAAACTTCTTGGTTTCACTTTTGAAAAAGAATTGGAATAATGTCAAGCGGCTGCACATCAAGAGCACCATGGGAAAGTGCCACACCATTTACGGCTGAGCCAGCAGCAGCAGCAGCAGCAGCGGGGGCCGCAGTCCCTCTGCATGCACGCACTCGCAGCTAGCCAGCTGCTGCTGCAGCAGCTGCTGCAGCAGCTGCTGCAGGAGCTGCTGCAGCTGTTGCTGCACCTGCTGCAGCTGCTGCTGCGGCATTTGCTGCTTCCACTGCACTGGTTGGGGCTGCTGCAACGGCTGCTGCTGCTGCAGCCGGGGCACCAGCAGCAGCTGCCTGTTTCGCTGCTGCTGCAGCAGAAGCAGCAGCAGCAGCTGCTGCTGCTGCTGCTGCAGGGGGGAGAGCGCGGGCAGTGGACTAAAGAAGGAGAGTTTCGTTTTAGGCGAATTGAAGGCCGGCAGTAGTGCGGGGTGTACAGACACCTCAGCTTCACCGTAACCAACGCAGACACGCACTGCAGCAGCAGCAGCAGCAGCAGCAGCAGCAGCAGCAGCAGCAGCAGCCGAACTAGTCGGTGTAGTGGAAGCTGCAGCAGTCTATCAGGTTGCAACTGCGATTTAAAAGACAATCTTTATTCCTTTAATTGGAGTTAATTATTCAATTTATCGGAAGTTCAAAATTAGGAGAAATAAATTAAAATATGAATTAAAATTCTTTTGATTTATTTGTTGAATTCGTCTTCAAGAATTCAAATTAAAAATGATTTGAAGCAGAAGCTGCAGCAGCCCTGCACGCCGCAGTTTGCTGCTGCAGTTTGCTGCTGCAGTTTGCTGCTGCTGCAGTTCGCTGCTGCTGCAGCTTGCTGCAATTTGCTGCTGCTGTCTGCTGCTGCTGCCTGCTGCTGCTCTCTGCTGCAGCTGCGCTGCTGGGGTGTACATACACCCGCGGCGACCCGCGCAGCAAGTGGCGCGTTTGCAGTTCTCATAATTTGCAAATAAATAAATTTTAATTTAAAAAGAATTTATTCTTTATTTCTTTTTAATTTCCATCATAATGCAGCAAAATGTTTTGTTGGATGTTTGCTGCAGCAGCAAACGTTTGCTGCAGCAGCAAACATTTGCTGCAGCAGCACTTTTGCACTTTCATATTCCCGCGTGTTATCCCGGCGTTGAATTTCACCCAAAAATTGTCCGAAGGTCTTCAGCAGCAGCAGCAGCAGCAGCTACGAGCGCCCCTGTGCTGCAGCAGGAGCAGCAGCAGCAGCAGCAGCTGCTGCTGCTGCTGCTTCCTTCTGCTGCTGCTGCAGCTTGCGCTGCTCGAACTCCGCATTCTCCTTGAGCGCAGCAATGAGGCGCTCCAAGTGGTGGGCCTTGAGCTGCAGCGGCTCCTGCCAGTTGATTCTGCTGCTCTGCTGCTGCTGCTGCTGCTGCAGCAGCCGCTGCTGCAGCCGCCGCTGCAGCACCAGCCGGCGGCCGCCCTGGCCGCGGGTGACTCGCGGGGTGTATCGACACCTCCGCCGCAGCTCCCGCTGCACTCCGCTTTCCGCCCACAGCCGCAGAAACAGCCGCGCAGCAGCAAAGTGCCTGCAGCAGCAGCAGCAGCAGCAGCAGCAGCAGCAGCGGGGAATGGCCCCTCTTTGCTGCTGCTCCAGGTGCTGCCGCGCCAGCAGCAAAAGCTGCTGCAGCGGCGGAAGCAGAATGGAAGCAAAAAGGACGCCGGCAGCTGCTGCTGCTGCTGCTGTTGCTGCTGCTGCTGCTTGCAGCAGCAGCAGCAGAACGGGAGGCAGCAGCGGCAGAAGCGACAGCAGCTGCAGCAGAGGCACTAGCAGCAGCAGCAGGGAAAGCAGCAACTGCAGCAGCAGCACTAGCAGCAGCAGCAGCAGCAGCAACTGCGGCTCACATTTGTTCGAGTTCTTGACTGTTTGTGGCAGCTTCAGGGTTTAGCAGGACGGAGAAGCCAAAACGTCTAGTGCTTCTTCGCGGGTCTCTTTCTTTTGCTGCTACACTTCTGCTGCTGCTGCTGCTGCTGCTGCTGCTGCTGCTGCTGCTGCTGCTGCTGCTGCTGCTGCTGGTGCCTGCGGTGTACAGACAGCCCACAGGCTCGAAACTGCTGCCAACTGGAGGTGCAGCAAATAAGCTTAGAGGGTACTGGCAGCAGATGAAGGCCTGGGGGCCCCTGGGGGGGCCCCTGGGGCCCCCCGTAGGCCTCTGCAGCTCCCTGGGGGCCCCCCAGGCATTGAAGGGGGCCAAGGGGGAGGCCCCTGCTAGGGGAGCTGCTGCTGCAGGTGTTGCTGCTGCTGCTGCTGTTATGAGCAGCAGCAGCAGCAGCTGCTGCTGTTGCTGCTGCTGCCGCCGCAGCCTCTCTTGTGCAGGCGAGACGAAGAAGCCCCGGGGCCGCCGAAGGCTGCCAGCCCGCTGCATGTCTCAGTGCAACAAAGTATTAAATTAAAACAAAAAAATAATTAAATGCGGCGAAGTCCTCATCTTCGCTGGCGCCGACAGCCGCCCCGGGGCCTCCGAGGGCTGCCGGCGGCAGAAAACTCGGAAAGTGGAGACTTAATTGTTGAAAATAAATATAAAAACTGATAATTTAGCATATTTATGCAATTAAGGCTAGCGAAAATTTGATTCCAAACCCCTAATATGCCTCCCATGAACGCTAGAGGCTTCCGATGGATGCGCTCGGGTCCCGGGGCTGTGGCAGGGCTGCTTGTCTGCAGATCTGCCGACTCCAATCAAATTAAAAAACATAAAATAAACATAAATAAAAAGAAAAAGAGTTCTTTCCTCGTTATGAAAAGTGGCGGGCGCCGCTGTTCTCCTTTGGCGGGCGCCGCCGCCCCAGGTGTACAGACACCTGACGCGCGAGCTGACTTGAATGCTCGTCACTTTTGTTTTTTTGCTACTTCGTTTGTTTTCTACTTTTGCTTCGCTGAAACGGATCTCTAGAGCTACTAAAAATGCACAATTATCTGAAGTAACCAAATTTGAATTGATTTAAATCAAATTCAAATCAATTCAAATCCAGTTCCCCTCCCGCTTCCTTTCAGAACCTGAACCCCCCCCCTCCCCCTTAGCCAAAAGCGAGGCAAAAAGTACCTTTTTAATTAAAAAACAAAAAATAAGAGCAATAAGAAAACAAATTTGCGAAATAAAGATCAATTTCCGCCGCTTTCCGCCTCCAATTGCCTCTTTTCTTGCCTCCAAGCTGCGGCAAGCAGCCCCCAAGAAACCTCCCGAACCCTAAACCCTAAACCCTAAACCCTAAACCCTAGCCCTCACTTCTTCGCAGCAGCTTTCTTCGGAGGCGGCGGCTGCTTGTCCCCCTTTGCAGCCACCTTGGGGGGCCCCTTCTTGCCCCCGGGGGGCCCCCCGGGGGCCCCCCCGCTGCTGCCGGGGGCCCTCATTGTCTTATCGAATTTGTTCACATCTGCTGGGCGAACTGCAGGACACGCAGCAGCAGGCGCGAGGTGTCTGTACACCGCAGCCCCGCTGCAAACCCTAAACCCTAGTTAGCCCCAACTCTGCAAACCCTAAACCCTAAACCCTGAATCTGCACACAATCAACCCCCCATCTGCAAACCCTAAACCCAAAGCCCTCAATCTGCAAACCCTAAACCCTAAACCCTCAATCTGCAAACCCTAAACCCTAAGCCCTGAATTTGCAAACCCTAAACCCTAAACCCTCACTCAATCTGCAAACCCTAAACCCTAGCAGTGCTGCTGGGCTTCTGACTCACAGCAGCTCAGCTGCGACAAAATGACGAAAATTAAAAATATCAAAACTGTTAATGTCCACTGCAGACAAAACACAAAAAGCTGCTGCAGCAGCAAATCAACTGCAGCAGCAAAACGCATAGTGCATGCTGTGCGGCGAGCCCTGACGGCTTCGTTTTGCTGCTGCTGCTGCTCTGCTGCACCGCTGCTGCTGCTGCTGCTGCTGCTGCTGCTGCTGCTGCTGCTGCTGCCGATTGTCTTACTTGGAACCACTCAGGCCGAATGTACTTCGCCACGAAAAACCAGCCGTCCATCTCGGGCAGCGGGCGCGACATGCTGACACTTGAGGCGTCTGCTGCCTGCAGCAGCAGCAGCAGCAGCAGCAGCAGCAGCAGCAGCAGCAGCAGCTCGAGCCAAGCAATCTGCACGTGCACTCACTTGATAAAAGTAAATAACTAAAAGGGAAAAGAGGAGGAGGGCCTCCACCAAAGGCAGCTGAGCGAGTCAGGACGCACTGTGCATGAGAGCAGCAGCAGCAGCAGCTGCAGCACCAGCTGCTGCTGCTGCTGCACCAGCAGCAGGAGCTTCTCGAGCCTCATTGCTGCGCCTGCAGTAAGTAACGGCGCGGGGCCTTTTGCTACTGCGCTGCGAGCCAGCGCACACTTGGAGGGTTTGAACGCCACGGCGTCAAATCCCGTTACATTTAGTTCGCTGCTGCTGCTGCTGCTGCGGTTGCTGCTGCAGCTGCTGCAGCTGTTGCTGCCTCTGTTGCTGCAGCGCTTGCCGGAGCCGCTACTGCGGCTACTGCTGCAGGCTAAGTAGGATCCAGTGAGCGGTCCGTGCTAAGTGCACGGAGGCGGCCTCAACTGGGAAGCTTCGAGCTGCTGCTGCTGCTGCTGCTGCTGCTGCTGCTACAATGCCAGAAAAAGCCCAATATGCAAGAAGTATTAGCTGGAATCGCTCAGAGGTGGCTGAGCCTCCCCGGGCGGCGGAATGCGACGGGCGCGCTGCTGCTGCCGGGCGTGGTTAGCTGCTGATCCGCCGGGAAAGCTGCGGGAAAGCGCGCAACTGACATTGAAAATGATTTAATAAATGCAAAAGAAAGTCGAAAGAGAAGTCGGTTTTGCGTTGGAGCCGCAGACGCGGCTGCAATGAGTAGAATGCGAAAACTGGATGCGCAGGCTTGTCGAGCGTCGCGTTGCGGGGGTTCCAGGTGTCTAGACAGCTGAAGAGCCGCGAGAGAAACGCAAAAACCATAAATAATAAATACTTTTTTTAATGTTTAGGGTTTAGGGTTTAGGGTTTAGGGTTGGAGGGTCCCGGCTTGTGCAGCAGGAGAGCCCGTGGCTGCCTTCGCTGCATGCGGGCGTTCAAGTTGCTGGCGATCTGAACTCCGGAGTTTCCTTTTCTTTGGGAAATTATTCAGGAAAAGTGTTCAAAGAAAGCTATTTCGACTGTCTTTTTGAATTTATTTCAGCTTCCCCTGCTGCCCGGCGTGCCGAGTGGCCGCTGCGGGCCCCCCAGGCGCTTCTGGCTCCAGCCTGACCCTACCGCGGGTTGCGCTTCGCGCAGCAACACAGCAGCAGCAGCAGCAGCAGCAACAGCAGCAGCAGCAGCAGCAGCAGCGGCGAAGATGATCGGGAGCTCGGAGTTTTGGGAGACGGAGCGGGAGGCGCCGTTGCTGAACCGGAACGCGAATTTCTTCTGCCCGGAGTCTGCTGCTGCGCTGCAGCAGCGCGCAGCAAAGCTGCTGCTGCTGCTGGAGGAGCGGCACGGCGCTGCTGCAGTGGAGCCGCAGCTGCTGCAGCCGGACTGCGAAGACGAAGCAGCAAAACGCATCTTCGTCTTGGACGCCGAGCGCACTTTCAAGTCTCCCCAGTTCCAGCAGCAGCTCGTCGCGGTAAGCCAGCAGCAGCAGCAGCAGCAGCAGCAGCAGCAGCAGCAGCAGGAGGGTCACTGGGTTAGTTTGTGTGGTGGAGGGGCCGCGTTTGGGCCGTTTGGCTTGTCTGCGACTGCCGCTGCTGCTGCTGCTGCTGCTGCTGCTGCTGCTGCTGCAGGTGCTGTCTTCGTTGTGGCCGGAAGTGGGGGACTACCACCAGGGTTTGGGTTTTGTGGCTTCGTTTTTGCTGCTGCTGCTGCCAGCAGAAGCCGTGCTGCAGCTGTGCGTGGGGCTGCACCGGCTGTACCTTCCTGGGTACTTCAAAGCGGCCCCCGTGGCTTACGTAAGGGACGCCCGCGTGCTGCAGAAGCTGCTGCAGCAGCAGCAGCCTGCTGTTGCTGCGCGGCTTGCTGCCTTTTGCTGCTGCCCCGAGGCCTACTGCAGCAAGTGGTTTGTGGGGCTGAACGTCCACGTGCTGCCCTTCGAAGCTTTGCTGCTGTTCTTCGAGCAGCTGCTGCGCTGCGGCGCTGCTTTTCTCTTCCAGTTCGCCCTCGCGCTGCTGCAGTGCTGCAGCAAGCAGCTGCTGGCAGCAGCAAGTGCTGCTGAGGCCCTTGAGATCCTCAGATTGGATCCCAGCAAGTTCCCAAATGCTGCTAAGGCTCCTGGCCAGGAAGCTGCGGGCTCTTTCTTCCTCAAGATCGTCCAAGACGCCGCCAACATCCACCTCGAGTCTGCTGCTGCTGCTGCTGCTGCTGCTGCTGCGCTGCTGCGGTGCTGCGGTGCTGCGCTGCTGCTGCTGGGGGCTGGGACGGGGGCGGGGAGGGTGCTTGGGAGGG